TATTTGTAGATCCAAGGGGAATCCCATTTTGTATTTTTCACATAAAATGTAATATGCAACAATTTATGTCTTCTTTTGGAATTTATAAATTATAACAAAAGAAAAGGCAATGGTCTAAGACCTTGTACATTTAATCCAGGGAGTCTCATCGTGTAAGATTTTATACACGTATCGTCTCACATAATAATATTATGTGTCTATCTTACTCTCTAGCACGTATGCCTTATTTCATGCAAACCATTCCCGCGATAAGAAATAGGTACTTATATTTAAAAGATTTCAACATAAAAAAATTAATAACAAGTATAAAATAAATTTATACTATATAAATGAAAAAATTTAAAGAATTTAATCAACGTATCGTCAACTTGTACGTGTAGTCGTATCCGACATGTGTTGTGTCAGATGCATGTGTACGCTCGGTGCATCATAGTTGGTCAGTATATGATGGAATGAAGAGCTTCAAATTCTTGCTTGATATAAAAGCAGGTTTTGAGTGCGCTGAGAAAAGGTGATGATGGTATCCCCAATTTGAGCAAGTAAATACAGATATTATGTATTAAGAGAAAAGCTTATATGACCTTTGACTTCGGGTTTTGGGTACTATTACCAAATGTGCTAATTTTTTTGCAGTTGTTACATTATCAACTAACTCTATTAGGATAATCTCTTAACGATAATAAAGAACAAATGAGTAATTACTAACCTTCTGGGGTAGCATGCCGTGTCAGGGCCTGACTTCACAAATAGTATAAATTTCGTTACTTTTCTTCACTCTTTGCTCCCTGATTTCTAATCTTTCTGAATTAGCATTCCTTACACTAGAAATTATTTTTATACACAGATTTAACATGCTGTAAAATGGGTACTATTACCAAAGGTGCTGGAGCTTTGATATCTAGTAACTTCTTGCAGTCCTGTGTTCTTGAAACACTTCAGATAGCAGATTGGCTGTGAATGTCAACTGTGGCCTGTGGGTTTCTTTTCTCATGAATACGAGATGGAATGCCCTGATGTTATTTTCTTATAAAGCGCGTCTATAGAAATTGTCTATTACTTATTTTCCAGGTATGTATGGAGATTGAGTGGGTAATTTGTCTAAAAGATTCTTTTCATTGGCTAGGCATCACAAGAACAATCTTGGAAGCATGAAGCATATTTGTTGTTTCCCGTGCATTTGGATGGAACATTATTTGACATTGCAAACACTATGAAAGCTAAGAAGGAGTTCTTTTCTACCTCAGATGTGCTTCAAATATTTCGTCAGGTATGGTGGAAAAACTAGTTCTGCCTCCTCTACACGACATTATTTTTTTGGTATATACAAATTTAATTGCTGTGTTAAAGTTGTGTATATTGAGTCACTAACTTATTAAATTTTTAGTTAATGTTATTTGTTTGAAATGCTTATAAGTAGCAAGTGGTTTCATAGGCAATGACTTATCTATATTGCCTTTATGACGAGAGAACATTTTACTGATAAATGAGTGTTTATCTGCAGCTTTGTTCAGGGCTTAAGCATATGCACAGTTTTGAGACTCCATACGCTCACAATGATGTCAAACCTGGTAATGTCCTTGTGACATACAGAAAAGGACAGTCACCTTTGGCAATATTGATGGACTTTGGAAGTTCTCGTCCTGCAAGAAAGCAGATTCGGTCGCGTACAGAAGCATTGCAGTTGCAGGTATTGATCTGTAAAATAATTTTACCTTTTTCAGTCATTGGATGTGTGTCCATCTTGATTTTATAATTTAGTCGGTAACAGCCACATCTAGTCTATGGTTTCGCATGTGACATGTAGCATTTGGCGAGTTCATTTCGTAGTTATATTTGAGCGAGTCCATTTTGCACGGTTCACAATCCTGATGTCTGTTTTGCATTTCCAAGGGTGCTTTTAATTTGACATCTGTGTATTCATTATGTAGGAATGGGCTTCTGAGCATTGTTCAGCACCTTTCCGAGCTCCTGAATTATGGGATTGCCCAAGCCATGCAGATATTGATGAGAGAACTGATATCTGGTCGCTAGGCTGCACATTGTTTGCAATCATGTAAGATCTGTTCATATTGATTTGAATCTTTAGTTTCTTATTTGAGGTTATATTTGGTAAAACCTTTTCTAGCAAATAAACTGGTCAAATGCTATCTTTTATCCGCACATTCCGTAGGATCCATATCTTTTATCTAGACATCTCGACAAAATTCTTTACTGGACATACACTAAGGCTGTTATTATGTTAATCTGTCTGCCAGTTATGTTTTTTGTGCTCGTGGAGAAAAGGGTGAATTATTCTTAAGAGTTATTATACACCTGCCTCACTGACAAGTCAGAACCATTTATCTGGCAGTTAACTGCAATTATTTTCATACATGGATACGTCTACTGTTGATTTACCAAATAAATTTTCTTTTTCATATATTAAAATATTTGATTTCTAGCATATTGATGTCCAGGGAATCAACTCTGATATCTCGTGAAAATTCAGAACACCAAAATAGTGTACGATACAAATAAGCATGTTTTATCATAGTAATTTCGACTCTACCTTCCCGGAGTTCATTCTCCAGGGAACTCATTAATTATTTATTTATTTATTTATTATTATTATTATTTTTAACATTAGCTTATGGTTGTACACGAATATTTGTGGGCTATGCTAATCTTCCTAATCAACAACTGTGTTTACGCAACTGAAGTTTGAATTGACTTTGTAAAATGCTATGTTAAAAAAGTATTATTGTTGTGGGAAACACTTTCCTTTGTTGATAATTAATTACATTATTTTCTACCAGTCCACTAGGTGTCAAATTTTGAACAGATGCCCATGTTATAAAAGAAAGCTGAGAAATAAAAATTTTCTGGCAGAGATTATAATTATGATTTTTTTCAGGTTCTACCACATTAACTTTGTTGTTATTCTCTTCCTCCTGTTTTAGAAAATTCTGTGTCTTTTGGTGGCCCATGCAGTAAGGTACTTATTTTGAAAAAGTCGTTATTAAAATAAGTAATTTTATTTGCTTAGAGTAAGGAACCGTAACTTATAGGAAACCAAAAAGTTACTTAAAAATAATTTTTTCTTATTTTTAAGCTTAGCTAGTCATCTTCTCTCTTTAGCTTCCGTTGTCTTCAAATTCTCTCTCTTTATTATCTCCTCGCTTGACTTACAGCTGCATTTCATAGGTACGGCGTATCTCCATTTGAATATGCACTCGGGGAATCTGGTGGTAGCCTACAGTTAGCCATCATAAATGCCCAGATAAAGTGGCCGAATGGCCCTAATCCTCCATATCCAGACGCACTCCACCAGTTTGTGACATGGATGCTGCAGCCTCAAGCAACAGTTCGACCTTTCATCGATGATATTATCATTCATGTTGATAAGCTGATAACAAAATTTTCTACGTGAAGGGACGGGACCGAGAATTTCAGGATTAGTCAACACTCGAAATGTGCACTTCAGGTGATTGAATGGCAGTTAAATGATGATTTTTTTAATTCCTTTTTTGTCAAGTGAATATGTGATGTGAAGGTATAGGGAGTTGTTAAATTACTGCCTGTTTTGTCTGACGATCTAGTTTTATCATATCAGTTTTAGACATATGTTCAGTCTGCCATACTAATAATGGACTTGGTTATTAGTTGTGACTATTAAACCTTGTCTTTTGATTCTCACACTTGTATATAGACATATAGCAACTAAGCAAGAGAGCTCCAGTTCTGCTCTAAGTGGGCCATGCCATGTTTTGGGCCTATGCTGGGCTTAATTTGTGTTGGGCTTTTCTCATAAGCTACTCAGACTTTGAAAAACTTTCCAACTTGTACCCCTTAATAATTTTATTGCATGGCTTCTTTTTTGTTTAGTTGTAATACAAATGATTTGTAACATATGACCGGAAATTGCAATTTTTTTTCCCAGAAACCAATCACAATTCACCAGTTTCAAGTCAATGGTGATATGAGAAACAGAATGCTGGGTATTTCCATCACTATGCTCAAAAGCTATAATTTGTCGCTTTCCTCTAAAAGAAAATTATGTACTTAAAATTAATCTAGAAATAATTTTTCCAATAACATCAATTCCATGCTGATAGAATGTACGGATATGAACCAGAATAAAGTAGAGAAGATGCATCTGAATTTGTTGTCATGTCGAGTCTTATTAGATCCATAATACTCAATGTGCCGCGAATTTTCATTTCTCAAATCCAATTATTAGATCAATTCCCCGCAATTCATAATAATCGTGTCAGAAACGTTCAGCCAAATACTTTCGATTATTTTTCTCTCTATTATTATCTCGATAACTATTCAATCCACGATACTAAACGTGCCATAAACGTATTTTTTGTACATCCAATTCATAATAATCGTGTCAGAAACGTTCAGCCAAATACTTTCGATCATTTTTCTCTCTATTATTATCTCGATAACTATTCAATCCACAATACTAAACGTGCCATAAACGTATTTTTTGTACATCCAATTCATAATAATCGTGTCAGAAACGTTCAGTCAAATACTTTCGATCATTTTTCTCTCTATTATTATCTCGATAACTATTCAATCCACAATACTAAACGTGCCATAAACGTATTTTTTGTACATCCAACTCCATACTCTCTCTCTCGTGGATGATGCTATGTCTAATTTTATTCATTCCATAATACTAAACGTGCATTATGTGTTCATGTTATAATCCCAATTACTCGGAGGGAAGTTTTCTCTGTCCATTATCATATCTAATCTTGTTCAATTCACAATATCAAATGTAGCACAAATCTATTTCTTCTCTACCTCTAACAAACCCTAGCTCGCACTTGGCGCTCACATCACTCTCTTGCTAACTAAAATCCGATAACCACTTCACTTTTCCCATCTGTCACTCCTCCCTTATTTCTGTATCCCCTTCATGGCCAACAATTACCACACAAAACCAGCCACGTGTCACCCCTTCTCACTATATATACTTAAATTCAATTCCTACATATATAGAGGGGGAGAGATAGAGAGAGAGAGAGAGAGACATTTATATTCATATTTCATTGTTACAATATTGTTACAATGAGTCCTAGACAACTCCATGACCAATACGTAAACAAAGAATTACCCAATAATGGCACGATTCCAACACCATTGAAGATCAATAAAGACTCACATTTCATCAAGAAATTGCCATCTTCGTCGTCGTCGATTATCAATGGTGTCGCGTCCAAGCCACCTCAGCCGCGCTATCCCGTCATCATTTACACGCATTCTCCAAAGGTGATTCACACGCACCCTCGAGATTTCATGGCATTGGTGCAAAAGCTCACCGGGTACTCACCCTCCGAATCCGAGGATGAACCTGCGAACCTCAAACCTGAAAGCAACGACGGATATAGCGACGAAAATGTTAAGAAAAATGTGATCAATGATGATAATGAGTCTTCCTCAGTTGTGACAGATGAGAATATCAATGGTAGCAGCTGTACTTTCGGAGATTCCCAGGTTAATTCGCGGTTCGTTCCTCCAAATCCCGGATTCAATAGTTTACCTTGTTTTCATCCGAATTCGACTAATATATTATCATCAGCTCCACCATTTTATAACGACACAGATTCATTGACGTTCATGCATAAGATGAGAAGCTCTTTTTCAACTTCTACACTGGATGCTATGAAGGATTTGCCAGAATTTTGAATAAATTAGGATAGGATTTTGATGCAGACTATAACTAAAAAGATTGAATTTGGATTTTCTTTTCATGAAACTGTTTAATGATTCTGTCAGTGATGAGAGTTCTGGAGAAAAAATTTCAGATGATTAACTTTAAATAATCATTTCTTTTATTTCATTTTGTCGTTCAACAAGAAATAATTGGTATCGAATTTGATTTGTTGAATCTTGTTTCCAATTAATGTTGATGAACATTTATCTTTTTCTTAAAGATGAAGGTTTTACATGAGGTAAAGCAATTTTGTGACAACAATTAAATAAAATGACAAGGAAAAATTCTTTCGATTAATCAAAAATATATAAGAGTTTAGACTATTCAACTACGGAGACGATGATACATTATTACAATAAAAGCAATATAAGTAGACTTCATAAATTAACAAACGCCAAATATTTATTTTAATTATTCTAAATCAATAAATAAAATAATATAACCCCAAAATTTTTTTAGAAATTTCGTACATATGTTTCAAGTTTTCGACAAAATTATAATTCTTAAAATCATAAATACTCCAAATTAACATTGATTTGCTCGTTGGTAGTGAAAGTTATGTTCCTAAGTTAGGTTTTTCATTGGGCTTATTTCCTTTTTAAGTTTTAACAGTTGAGCATTTTGTTGAGCTAAACTTCAAAATAAGAAAATACTACCTGCTAAAAAAAAGAAATATTATTTGACGCCACTTAACACCAGTCTAAATAGCATCGCTTGCGTCATTAAATTATAAGTTCAATTAAATATAAAAATTTAGTATTCATTTGTTAGGACCTATCACATGCCAGCATATAGACTAATAGGTGCTAAATAACAGTATTCAAAATAATAATAATAATAATAAGGCCAATTCGGCATGCTGGGGCAAGACCATTACGATCTTTGAGCACTTTGAAAAGTTCTGTGATCAAAAGCACTCAAGATCCATACAAGCCATGAAACACTCAAATTACAAGACAAATGTTTTTATATCCATATTTACAAATTTACAATCCAAAGATATCCTCAAGATAGTTATTCGAACGAACAATGTTGAAAATATTACGTCACTCTTTCTTTTTATCTTCTTTAACCCTTTCAAGAACAACAGGAGCAGCTGGTATACTGAACCACCACTCTCGCAATCTTCTCATCCACCTTTCAGTGCTCTCTCTCCTAAGAGGTGAGTATTTTGTAAATGTTTCAAGAAAAGCAAGTAGAACAATGTACTTTACTGGTAACAATGCCAACGGTAAAGCCATCGCCAAGAGTGCAATAGCAATTTTTTCTGTCGCCTGCATAATAGCAATGTTCGTGTTAGAAGTGTGGAATAACTAATTTGACAAAGGCAGCAAATAATATATAGCGTCGCCACAAGCACAGAGCAAAATAGGTGATAATTGCTAAATGCGGCAATTGTGAACATATTCGTTTCATCTTTGCTACAACTCAATAATTAGATTTGCAATAATGCACTCAATTTCATGAATTGGAAGTGTATATAAAGAAAATTCAATTTGACAACAATTGAGTATGGGAATTGACATTTGCAATGCAGTTACTAAATATGTTGCATCGCAATAATAATACCATAAAAAAATTATAATCGAAGAGATTAATTACTGGGTGGAGAGTGCTGGTTCCTAACGCGTGTACATTTCTGATAAATGAGTGGGAGGGAGACTGGAAATGTACACCTTTGCCCATATCTAGAATTAACTCTCAAATAGATGTCATCACCTGTGTACCGTTGGCAAAGTTTGGCTCTTGAATTCTAGGCCTCATTTTTCGCCAAACTTAATCTCATTTCCCTTTAAATTCTTTCCCTTACTGTTATGGGATGTGTTATCCCACATCGGTTTAATACCTAAATAAATACCAATTTATAAAGATCTTAGGCTTCTCCACCTATTAAGGTTGATCTTATTAAGACAGACTCCAAGTCTTAACATAGTATCAGAGTCACCCCGTAGATTTCAAGATTGGTCTGCCCAAATGAGCCACCATCTTGAGAGGTATCCCACATCGGTTTAATACCTAAATAAATATCAATTTATAAAGATTTTGGGCTTCTTCACTTAATAAGGTTGATCTTATTAAGATGGACCCTAAATCTCAACACTTACAAACTAGACACACTCACCTAAACTTTGGTTCTTAAAAAGATGACAGAAATCATTTGTTACAAACATGAACACCTCCCAAGACCTTGTCCTGTAATCTCGAGAGATGTACTCGATAAATTGTCATTTGAGGTTTGGAGGAAGTTCTGTACTACCCAAACTTTTGGTCGATTTATTTCTCATTAAATTTAGGGTTTGACTGGGGAAAATAATAGCGAGCTGCTAAGCTTAGAAGTCTACTTATAAAAATATAAATCTGTTAAAATATATCAGTTTTTTAATTGGTTAAAGTTGATAATAAGATACAGATTTTAACTGTAAAGTATGAGTGAGTTTCAAAATAAATGACTCACTCTTCAACTTGAGTAAGAAAAAGTAACATATTCAAACATGCTTGGGCTTTTATGAAGCGTAGCCAAACACACTCGCTATTTTGGCATTATGCCATAATGGTTGTTGTGAAGTCCATTTGGATTGACAGAAATCTTGTGTTAAGATAGTGATTCATCAGCTTCATTCAGGTTAGGGCTGTGCTTGTCAAGACTTGTATTCTAGTTAATGCTTGACACATGGCAGGGGTTCTCTATCTAGTTCTGCTTTACCTATTTTATTTTTCTTTAAATGATCTAATTTTGCATTACAGACAGGAAATAATGTTGTTCAATTACTTATTTCTTTCTCGTACCAATAAATATGTTCTTCTATCAAAAGGCAATTCTTAGTGGAATTACTGCAAGGGAACGGAAGATGCACAAAGGGGCAGCACGCCTGGAAATTTGCATAGTCTAGAGGGAAAAATGAAGATGCCCTGGGAAGTGAGGTATGAAGGAGAAAATTTCATTCAAATGGGCAAGTAGGGGAGCAAGGTTTCTTCGAGAACCACAATAAGACCTCTCGTTATAAGTACTCAAACTACAGATATGTGTTCGGGGGTCTATTTTGTCCCAGAAAAAAAAAATAGCTTATTAAAAACGATGTTGTAAGAATAACTAAAAGCTGTCATCATAAAAAAAAATGTAGGAGTATCTTTCCAGATTTAATTTAAACCTACTGGCTAGTCGGCTCTAATGAGTTTTTTCTCCTGGTTCTGGCCAATTACAGAACTGCACTGGTTTAGGGAAAAAGTTAGTAGTTTCTCCATTGAATTAGTTGATCTAGTCCAGACTTAATACAGGGGTGTATGGCATGTAAAGAGACAGAAGTATTTGGAACCTGTTGACGAAATAATTTACCAATAACAAATTGAGTTTTCCAAAACAAAAAGACAAGAGAAAGCTAGTTCGTCAAGCTAAATAATACCTGTGGAAAAATGGATAAAAGTAAGGCACGGCATTTGAGAAGAGCAACATTTCCATCCTGGATTACCTCTTCAGCTTGAGAAATTACATTTTGAACAGCCAAAAGTTGCTCCATGGTATTCATTACAGGGGGTGCTATTACTTTGAGTTCATAGCCTGGCTTTCCTTGGCCACAACAACGGGTGACCAACATGAAGACTGCAAAAAAGATGAGCAATATTGCAAAGGCATAACCTAGCCAACCTCTGCAAAACAAGTATTGCTAAGTATACAAAATGGGCGAGAGAAACAGAATAAGACAAAGGAAGAGTGGAGAGACACGAGGGAAGAAGAAGACAAATAGTCTAATGTAAATTAAAATCCCAGTTCCATAAATAGTAGATAAATAGTCTATTGTTCCAATTTTATAGTTGTAACGACTTTATGTCTAAGGGAACTTCCAAAAATTCTAACTACATCAAAAATTTATCGCGACCATTTGAATCTAATCTAATCTTATCTTATTTTCCTAGTACATATACAATGATTGTCAATCTACAGTTAGGTCTCTTTCTCCTTAGAATCCATTCAGATTCTTTTTGACTCTTGAAAATGCATCAGTTGCATGATGTGCTCATAAAAATACAGCAGTCAAGGCAATAGAGACATTTCTACACCATAGCTACCCTTTTCTCAACAAGGCTTTCCTAAGAACAGTCATGCCATGTTACTTGGGATGATACAATTATAATTTGTTACCAAAAATGTATGAAAACCAAGATAGATATAAATGTAAGATATTGTCATATATTTTAGACAAGTCAAATATTATGACCTTCAGATATTTTATTTGGTGTTCTGTGCTAAGTTTTATAGTTATTCGAATTAATGTAGTATAATCATGAATGTGCACAATAAAAAAAGTCAACATGGATAAACTACTCACACGTATGCATGATACATGTTCATAAAATTATAAAAATAATGTTATCCAGCACCAGTGGTGCTTAACACCAGTCAATGTGCCAGCATATTATAAGTCCTACTAAATAAGCCATAATTTCTTGTATTTAAATGAACCTGTAATTTAATGTCACTAGTGCTCCAACTTAAACTGATGTTAGACACTAGTGGTGCTAAATAACATTACTCAAATTATAATATGCCTACTTTCCCTATATTCTTTTTCTTTTGCTTCTTTCAGTTATTTAACTACACACTGTAATTCTATTGTATCCTTCAAACTAATATCCTTGATTAGATATAAAATGCATTTCTGCCAATATTATTATCCATTTTTCCTTAAAATTTCAGTTGTCGCAATTTATTTCATTAAAAACGGCTAGTTGAATATAAGAAATATTTTGATAATTTATCTAGGTAATCGAGTTCGATAAAAATGTCCCCAAAGAAGATTCTTTGATGAGGTATCAACTTATGTCACATTTTTTCTTCCATATCTTCTAATATCAAAAGATAATTGGGCCATCCATCACCCAGTAAGAAGTGCTTCTCAGCGAGGTTTCCAGAGTAAGACCTGAAATACCTAATCATGAATATGTCCTAGAAGATTCTTTAAGAGTTATCAACATGTTAGGTACTCTTGTTTAGTTGTTCCTCTATCTCACATACTCGTGTATAAGTCCTTTGAACTACCTATTTGTTTATTTTACGATTTTGACGTGATTACATGAATAAAATCAAATAAATGACTGCTGCATCTAGGTTCTTGATGGATTGTCTATCTCACAAAGCATACTCATCCAGCTTATTGATGTAAATGTATATAATAAAATATATTTCTCCACTCCGTATCAAGTTTAATTTATAAACTACGGAATCATTCAACAAGGAATCTGATCTAGGGGTCGCTTAGCATTTTTTTCTCATGGTCACCTTGTCGAAAAATTGAGGCGGCTGCACAGCATAGTCAATGACAATAGTCCCCATTATTTCTTTTTCTTAGATTTAATTACTTAAAAACTGTAAAACCCTGGTACTATATTGATTGGTAGTTCACCATACTTTAAAAAATATGTATACGTACTTGTACACAAGGATGTGTGGACTTCAGAAAACTTATGTGATTCTGTGATATGGGACCATTGTGATCCTGAAAGAAGCAACATGGAATACCTCAAAAGGAGTGAGAACGTGATACTTGAAGAGTCTTCGACTGAGGTGATGACCCTAATATGGTGGTAGGACTTTATGATGTTAAATGAGAATTTTGATGATGATATTCTGTAATGTGATGATACTGATGACGTTAATACCTGATACAGTATTATATGGGCATTGTAAATATCACTTTTACGGTATAAATGCCAAAATTTAAATAATCCAGTTTTTGGTGGTGAGTTTACTGTTTTATCATGGATTATATTTTTACAATGAGGTGCCCTGACAAGAAGATATGAATCGTGATTTTACAAGGCAATAGGTAATGGTCTTTTGTATAATGAGCATTATATTGACAGTAATGAATATTTTATAATGACAGTAATGCTATGATGTCACAAGGATTATTATGATATTGCAATGATATGATCCAAATAATGATGATCAATAATGTGTATGAAATAAGGTGTGACAAAACTCTTTCTTCTTACAACTGCTGCCGGGTGGAATTATCATCTAAGTGAATATTTGGCACTTTTCTCTTCTTCATTTCAGAAGGGAGTTACCAAAGCACAGGAGAGGGGAAGAGAGAAGGGGGAATCAGAACACCTTCCATAGAAATCTTTCGTTCAAGTTGAAAATGATTTAGAAAATTGAAACTTACAGAAAACCTTCTCACCTCCAGATAATATATGTGAAAACCAAACAGAATGCCGAGGACTTCAAATAGTCTTCCCAGTAAAGCAAAGAAAGAAGCCAATTTCCAACTTCAGTTAGAGGAGAAAGCAATTCCTGCAATTGCATGTGATGATTAAAAACTTCTGTGGTTGAATGCTTGTGAAAATTACAGCACTAGCATGCTAAGAAAATGACAGAACAAGCAAATAATATTTTGACCCAAGTATAGAATATTAAAGATATGTGCTAAAGCAGCCAGTCATATGTCAAAATGCTAAAACAGTGAGAGAAGGTGAGATCAGTATTAATTCGCTAAACAAAAAATTCGGAACAGCACAGAACCCGCCATCTTTCTTTCTTTTAAATTCTTTGTGGAATACAAGTAAAAAGAATTATATCCTTACACATCTAGTCAATACCTTCATCACTGCCAAGTTGGTGTCAATTCCATCAACTTTAACTCCATCTATTGTAGATTGCGCATGCACTACCTTTTTATAGCTGCTTCTAGCTTCTTCAACTGCTTTCTCCAAAGGAGTCCTCTCTCCAACAGCAATTTCACCAACAAACAATCCTGCCTCACTAGCTACACTAGAACTTGTTCCTGACGCAAATCCCAAATTAGAAGCAATTGCTAAAGCTGAAATTGAATACATCCCACTTCCAGATTTGGCTGAGTTTGTGTGGTCTAATTCTCTCATTGTAGACATGTTCGCAAGTTTTTCTAAAATTAGGTCCCCACCTGGAAGCTGGTCACAAACGTTGAACATAAGAAGAGCCTCACAGGAAACAGGGATTGCAGAACCCATTTCTTCAAGTACTTGTAGACGCAGAATCCCAAAAATCGCTTTCAGCAGCACTTCATCCTTCTCTAGAGAACTGATCTCAAACTTACGTCTAAATCTATGGGCATATAAAACTTCACGAATAATAGCTAACCAGTAATCACGACGGGTATGACCTTTAAGCTCTGGAAACTCCATTACGACGGGCTCCGATCTACAAAAGGAATATTAAAGAATCCATAAGCTTTTCAAATATAAACATGGAGATACAATATAGCGGATGTAGAATGATGGTGCATGTGTGTCGAAGTATCAAGGAAAATAGTGTGCGTGACCATGCCTTACAATGAAATTGATTTATAGAAGACGGCCTTGTCAAAAAGCCTGGTCCCCCACGGTCCCGTCAGCTCAGGTCTAACAACTTGCTTTAAGTCATCAGCTAGATCATATACTTTTGCTTTATCATAAGAAACAACACGAAGAGCTTCAAAGTATAGAGCGTGATCTGTCAAAGTTAACCGACCTGCAATCATAGATATGTCCATAGATGTTTAGATAAACTGAAGAGATCTTGTCAATTTTATGATGTTCCCTGTATTGAGTACACAAATTTTACAACTTACCAGGCCATGTTGAAATTCCCACATGTTCAAGAACGGGCTGGCTCGTGACTGTTCCATCCACTTCCAGGATCTTCTCCCCTCTTTCTGATCGTAGGGAATAAAGGAGTGATGATTCTGATTGGCTCTTCAATTTTCGCATTGCCCTGCAAAATAAAACCAGGCAAAAAATGAAATGAGAAAGGGAATAATAATGAAAGTTAGGCACAGAACTCTCACTCGCCCAACCATTAAAACAGCACTGGAAGGAGACTGGTAAATAAATTTTTAATGGAGCAAAATAAAATGAAATAATAAGGAAAACCGGTACTACCCTGATCTACAGCTGTGTTATTCAATTGACATAGTTTTATTGTTGTTGTTGTGTTTGCTTTGGTTGGTGGTGGTGGATAGAATGTGGTACTTAACAATGTAATCAAATGACATTTTTTGCTTCACTTCTGTGTAATTCATGTTAACCAAAAGTGTGTTGAAATTTGACGAAAATGAATTCTTGAACTAAACAATCAATCTCTCAAGAGCACAATAAGGGATTGAATGCAAGAAAACACTCAACGTTTTATTCAAGAACCACCAAGAAAACAAAGTGCTAAAATGAAAGCTAATAAATAGTCCAAACAAGTAGAAAACCCTTAATAATATTAAAGACCAAAATGCCCTCCAAATAGGGCCAAAAATAGAGGACATTAAAAAGAAAGCAGATCAGGTGACCCGCCTCTACCCTGGGGGCAACAAGGACCGTCCCCAACTTGAGGGCTGGCTGGGGATGTCATGCAGGGAATTTATTTCCCCCCTTGGCCGCTACAGGGGTGGTCGCCCATTGCTTTGAGATGGCCGAACTCCTCCTCCATTCACCTTGGCCGCATCTCATCACATTGGCGCCGATGTGGAGCTCCTTTGAGCTACAGTCATCTCTTAATGCTCCGAGTTGCTTCCACTGCTGTATCAGTCCCTCTAGGGTAGAAATGATTCACCCTTGAGTTGAAATATATTTTCTGATCAAGGCTCTCCAAATTCCCTTTGCATCATATCCACAAGTGAAGCTAGTCTAAATTCGACACCTTATATCTACTTCAGAGCAGAGGCGGAGGGCAGGGCCCAAGCCCATTTAGTTTTCTAAAGTTAATTTTTATGGGATTTTTTTTCCTGTCTATCAGCCCATTATAAGAAAAAATTTGTCCCCGGCTCACTCTTCAGGGCAACAAACACCTTTTTCTCCTCCCCCCGCCCCCCTTCCCCCCCTTCCCCCCCCC